ATATACAGTCTATGGGGGGTCCATATTTTTATTCCTTTATTTCAATACTCCTTTTAGATTGTACTTCATAAAATAATGACTTTGTTTTTTCTTTTCTTAGATTCTAGCAACTGGTTTAAGTGCCCTTTATTCTGATTTACCACATCGTTTATCAACAAATAATGATGAATGTTTTATATTAACAAAAAAAGAATGGTCAGAAAGTCCTGAATTAGTACAATTCATGAATTCTCTTCAATTTTCTAATGATGTTATACAAGTAGATTTTTTTTTCTTTATGAGTTTAAAAAAAAATAACGATTACAATAATGATCGATATTTTCTTAGATTGCCCATCCAACAATTGGTTATCATTTATTACAATATATTTATCATGGATTTCTTGTACCAGTTCTTGGTCCAAGTATTCATCAAGTATGTTGAAAGAAAAAACATTCTAATGACAGCATGTATATTGCTTAAATAATTTCACAATGATAAAGTTAACACATAAATGTGTGTGTGCGTGTGAGCAAATTTCTTCTTTCATAGGATCTTCACGAAATACCATTGAAATTTTCTGATTTACAACATTTTTCGGTAAACAATGGGAAATTTAGAAAAAAAAGATTTAGATATATATATATTATATGATTTATTTTATTTGCTGCTTCACATTTTATTTTATTTTTTTTTTGCACATTTGCTATTGCATGATTTTTTTTTCAGACTAAGCATGATTTATTTATTTAATTATTTTTTCGATTTGATTGTATCATAGAAATATAAATGTATGTATATATTTTGTATAGAATACAATGGATGAAGTTATTGCAGCAACAGCTTATTTGGATTTATTTTTACGTACAATTCATGAACCGGCTTTATTAAAAGTGTTTTTAAAATTTATACTATGTGCAAGAATTGATGAAATAAGTTTATTAGATACATTAATACAACGAATTAATTTTAATACGAAAGTATGAAAATTCTATAACAAAAAACAAAAAAAACTTGTTTTTTTTATTTAATTAATTTTATTTATTTTTTCTAGTTGGGATTAATTTCATTGGGCTTATTTTATACATTAATTAATCTTAATTGTGAAGATATTATGTATCGTCTCATATTTATGTATGAAAAATATTACTAAATTTTTTTTTTTTGTTAGATCCTTATTTTTTTTGTAATGTTAATTTTAGGTATTTGATTCCATGTCGACATGTTATGTGTAGTCAACGACGACATATAACTGATGTAGAAATTTATGGAAAGAATGCTGAAAGATTTCTTTCATTGAGACCTTCATTTTCAAATAAAAATACCAATAAAGATAGGTAATATGAACAATTTATTTATACAGAGTAAACTGATGTAAGAACATATTTCACTGTCAGATGTCATTTGACTTCACTTTAAGGCTACATAGGCCTCCATGAGAATAGAAAAAAAGCTTGAAAACATACGCATTCATCGTCTACTATTGAAGCATTATGGCCATTTTAATGAAAATTTTATTAAGGATAAGGCATTTTCGACAAATTCAAAATAATAAGTTTCAAGCTGAAATTATTTCTATAGGTACGTTCGATACTTACTAGATTGTCCAAACATTTTCAACGAGAATGAATATGTTCTTCAATGGTAATCCGTTGTGTTTTTAGACATTGAATTCATTTTCGTTGAAACTTTTAGAAAAATTTAATGACTATCAATTGTACTGATAAGATGTAATTTTAACTCAAAACTCTTTATTTTAGATTTTTCGAAAATGTCTTAACTCTAATAAAAGTTGTATGAAAACGGCCATAACTCTTCAATAATAGGTCATGAGCATGAACCTTTGTAAAGTTTTTGTAGTCTTGCCAACATTTACTTGTAGCTATAATGTGAAGTCGAACAGTGTTCGGTACTTGAATATGTTACCTTGTGAGTAAAATGACATATATCTATAGCATAAATATAATTTGATGTCATTTATTATTAGTTAAAGAAATCATTGTTTTAAGAACTTGTGAAAGATTACAATTTCTTGTTAAAATCAGTTCTAAATACTTCAAAACGATTTTTAACAACACTTATCAGTATACATTATGAGCAATACTTTATCAGTAGTAAACATAGTAGTCCATATGAGCGAAGATATTCAATTTTTTGAAAGTTTAGTTACTTTCTGGACATTCTACATATGTATGCTTGCTGAAATGAATGACTTGTTTCATAACGAAGATAATTCGATGATATTTTTTTCATACCATAGGGATTCCACTAATCATTTTTTATAATTAAGTTTACTTGTATCATAACAAAAAAACGAAGTGAGTAAATATTGTTTCAGTTACTTTAAGTATAAAAAAAAACTTATTTAAACATAGTTTCAGCTCAAACAACATTAGTAGATCATTATTTCTTATGAGATATCATCATAAACATGATTAAGTGTAATCGAGGATAGAACAGCAGATGCTGCAATATTGAAGTATGCTGTTTCTCCCTCGAACGTTATTAAGAGTGGGTTAGGCCAGGCTCTGTTCTACCACTACAAGGAAAAAACGCAATAATTTTCGTCATTGACATTATATTCCATTAATGTCCTCCAAAATCATAGAGCATTGTTTTATCATACACAATCTTCTCGTTACGCCATTAATATCTGGAAAATCATTTGTTTGTAATAATCATAATTGCCATGATTTTTTACGTCATGTCTATGAAAATTTACCATTGTTGCTTAAAAACTGTCTTCCAGATTTTAAGCTTCTCTATATTCTAAAAAACTTATCGATATTTATGATCATAAAAACAACTCTACTATGACTTTTCTTTTTATAGCAATCAAAATTCACAATCGAAACAAGTCCATGTTAGCTTTAATCAAAATGGTGACTCTTCTAATAATGTTGATCGATATGAATATACACTTGGTGCTTATCTTGAAGTACGATTGTCGCCAAGACAAAGAAATTTTCTTTATTAGTTTTCTATTTTCAGGATGCCCATTTTAGTATAGTTCGTTGTCGTGCTGCTTGTCGTTGTTGGACAGTACCATATGATGGTGAAACACCATCATCAGATACAATTATTGGAGATTCTGATATTCTATCATTATCAAGTAGTCTTTCATCAATACAAATAGATAATAATAATTTAAAAAAACCGGCTTTAAATCCAAATAATTGTTCAAATCAAATACAATCAAATAAAAATGTAACTGCATCAAATGATTCGGGTATTCATGAAGATGGTCTTGATACAAATTCTCAAACAGAAATTTTACCAATGATAACAAAATCAACAACAGTTGAGTTTCAATTACCATCATGGCTTGCTAATGGTGAACCTATACCTGATGAACTTCTTGCTAAACGTTCATTAAATATTCATTCAACATATGCACATATAGACAATGATGATGGTGATGATGATATTGATCCTTATCAACCATCATCATTTTATAGTTTTTCATTTATTGAATTATCTGGTAGTAGTGAAGATTCATGGTCAATACATTCATCGAATAATACGTCAATAGTAAGTACAAATATTCGTGATGAAATAAAAACATGTGTTGAAACATTAAATATATGTTTAAAACAATTTCGTGGAATGAATGAACAATTAGATAATAATGATTTACAAGTACAAATTGATGAGAATGTTAAAATTTTATTAAATGAAATGATTGATCGAATTGAAAATTTATCGAACAAAGAAGATATTCAAAATTTAAAAGATTTATCAACTATAAATTCAATTTCATTAGATTATAATTTATTAAATGAATTATTTACAAAAAAATTAACATTTAATGAATATTTAATCTTACTTGATCATCTTATTGATAATAATATATTAAAATTTTCGTCAAAAACAGGTGAAGAATTATCAAGTGAAATTCTTCATCTTGCTGATGAAATTGAACATTATAAAACAATGATTAAAATAGATAATAATAATGATATTGATCAAAATTTATTAAATGTTAATTTAGATAATCAATATCATCAACAATTGTTAACAAATACACAATCAAATTATTCTGTTATATCATTTTTACAACAATCAACATCAATGGATATATCTGTATTAGGTACAAGTGATATGTCAAATCAAATACAATCAACTTTAATTACATCAACTGTTCAACAACAAACAACAACACCTGCTGGAAAAATGGCTGATGTTGGTATGTCTATTATTGATCAATAAAATTTTTTATTTTTTTTCTGATTTCAAACATAGCCTAGAATAAGGAGAAGTCTCGTCGGGAGTTTCCTTCAATCAACACGTTTTTTACATTTACAAGAAGAACTTATTATCCTTTTGGTAAAAAAAAAACAATCTTAAAGAAGTGTTGAAGTATAGAAATAAAAATTTGCATTCCCTATAAACCAGATATCAATAATGTTTTCACTATCATTTATGAATTACTGACCTATTACCTTGTCGGAGGATCGAGTAAAAGGATGATTGTTGGCTCTGAAATTTTCCAATTCGAACTTGATTGATCAAACTTTTTCAGATTGAAATTTGATAGAAACGTAGTTTAATACTCTCCATGAAATTATCTCATCGGAATTGAATAGTCGCCTCAAAGATACGAGATGCTATTTTCCAGATTCTTTTGTATTGGATGACTAGTGCACCCTACACATTTCTCAGGCGATCAGAGTTTATCAGTTCGACTTTTTCAGATGTAGAATCGTTTTTGGGATCAACCCGAGATAGATAGAATTGAATTTTCTTACAATGAATAACAAAGATGTTCGACAATTCTTTACTTGATTTTATTGGTATTTTTGGGGGGCAAAAATCTATTTTAGTCGTAACATGACATGTTTCAAATTATATCCTTTCATCTATGAAAGAAAATAAGGATTACGATCTCTTCTCTATTTGAAAAATAATTCCTAGCTATTGAATGTTTTATTAGACTATTAAAAGATTTATAGGAACTTGACTTTAATTTGTAACGAATTTTAGGTCCATTTTTACGAACTATATTTTCCAAATTAGAAAATATGTTACAAAATTCTTTACATGTCAATTTATTATTAACGGGTATTATAGCCCGATTAGCACACTATTCTCAACCATTATTACGTTCATTATTACTTAATCATAGCCTTGTACTTGAAACAAATATTAAATCACTTTTTCAGGTAAAGAATTTTTGTTCATGATTATTATTTTTTTTCGTTAGCTAATATTTTTTTTTCTGATTAAAGATTCTTTCAAACCTCAAATCAAAACTTGAATCGATTTCTCAAACATTCAATGATTTTAACTATCTCATTGAATTAGCGCATAATACATTATATCAACGAGAAAATACGGCAAAAGTATGGACTTTGAATTAGTTACTTTTTTCTTTTAAAAGATTTTTTTTCAAAAGGAATTTGATGAAATGCAAAGACGAGCACGTTCTCCTTCACGAACACGATCAAAATCCATTGATACAGACAAAGGTAAATCAATATATCTATTATGTATTTTTTAATTCGTTTTGATCTGAATTTTTCACAGATGAAGGACGAGTTTTTTTCGAAACTCGACAATCACCTATAAAAGGTTCTTTGTGCATGCAATTGTTTATTTTTATTTTTTTTATCAATGAACTTTGTGTGTTTTTACTCATTCTGCATGATAAAATATAGATAATAGTTCTTGTGTTTTGCATGTTGATAAAAGTTTTTTTTTTCTGTTTTATTAATTTAGAGCGTTCATCAAAACGAAGTCGTATATTAGATTTCTTTCGTGGCCGTGTACGACCATCTGATCAAACAGATAAAAATTCAAATGTTCATAATCAATCTCATATTTCATTTATTGATAAAACATCCATGAAGTAAATTTTCTTTTATAATACAAACAAAACAATAAAAATAAATCTTCATTTTAAGATTTATAAATATTCGTGATCATAATTCAACAAATTCAATAAATGAATGGGATGATCCAAAAACTCGCAATATAGCATATTGTGCTGTTATATTTAATGAATTTCTTAAAGAACTTGCTGCAATAACATTAGAACATAGTGTACAACAATTTGATGATGATCAAATATTTGATGATATGTTACCAATATCATTAAAGCTTTAATGAAGATTTATTCATGCATTTTATTTTCTATTGCTCATTCGAGTTTTATTTTATTTTTCTATTATTGGCAATAATATATTTGTATTCGTTTGTGATGTGTCTATTGTTTGCAATACTATAATAACCACTGGTCAATATTGATTTTTTTGTTTTCTAAGTCTTATAAATGCTTTTTCATTCACTATGTGCATTCTTTTGGATAGAAACCATTCGTTGTTTTTCTTTTTTTTTTGCCTATTACGGATGATTATACGAGATACACGCACTGTCCTTTCGTTTCTTTTTTTTATTGTTGTATTCTTATTATTTTTTTTTGCTTGTACGAATTTACGAAAAGAAGAAAGAATAAAAAAATGCACACTGTGTGCTTGATTTTCACAAATGAAATGAAATATTGATTTTTTTCATGTTAGTATACGTTTAAAAATAATAAGAAATATAAAAAACATATTATAACGTAGTTTGAAATACTTAAATGCACTTCTTTGTACTTTTGTGTCTTTGACAGGTAAAGCTGTCAGTTAAATTTTGAGATCGACAAGATAGATTCTAATTTCCATCTAAGAATCTGTTTAAAACGCTCTCTGATTGAAACAACACTCTTCAAATAGATCAGTTCGATAAACTGGTCGAACCAAGGTTAATGAGTTTTCTAGCCATAACTGCCCACTGCTATTTAAGAAAGGACCCATAACTTTTTCGTGGCTATCTAGAAATGATTCATAAAACTATGTCGAGCCAATTTAGATGTGATCTCTATGACTTTCTTAGCGCTACCTGTAGATGGTTCCTGTAACTTTTTTCAGGTAGTCAGAGGAGAGAAATTACTGTTACGTTGCTGAGTAAATGCTAACGAGTCCATTGCTAGCTTTTGATGAAACTTTACAGTAGATTGTAATTTTCTTCTAACACTCATCCCTTGACAACAAAATCAAATAGACGAATTTTCCATTTTCGGTTACTTAGTCACGTAACGGTAACTTCTCTCCTTACTTTAAGATATATTAAAGACTTAAGCCATTTTAAGAGGCTTCAAATACAAAAGTATCATGTTTCTCCTTCGCTGTTTCTTAATAATATTGGACAAAGTCGAATCAAGTTAAAGCTCGCGCTGCAAAATTAATAAATTTAAAATGTAGGTTACCCTTAGTGTGTTTGTTGTCGTAATACGAAAAAAGATCAGATTTAATTTATCAAGATTTGTAAACCACTGTTATTTACAATTTTCTTTTAACTGAATTCAAAAGGTCTTACATGACACTTAGTTAATATTTCAATACATTCAACACAAATGCGAATGTGAGTGTAGTGCGGGTGGTTGAAGTGTGCAGTTACAAGGCAGCTAAACAAGATTCTCTTCCTCCACATCCTCACTTATTCATCCTCACTTCAGGAATCCATGGTGGAGCGATTCTTAATCTATCTGTATTTAGATGTCCTTCAATTTGAAGTACATATTTAATTCCAATGTTAGCTTAAGTGAAATATTCATATATATCTAAGTCAATACCACTAGTTAGAACAAGTGTATTGAAAATAAAAGGGTATAAGATAAAAGAACTAAGCAATCACTTAAAATTACAGAGAATATCAAAAAAAAGGTGAATGAATGTGAGAAAGTTACTGTGAGTCCGGGTGTGAAATGTTGTGCATGGAAAGAAGATTCTCATACCCGCACAATACACCTTACATATCAAAACCTCGTTTGATAAGAACGATAAACATGATTATGCGAAGCGTAATGTTTTAGTTTCTTTCGAATCACCTTGAAGGATAGTATGGTATAAGCACTAATTATGTGCTACTGCTTTCCCTGCTTGCTTAGATATCGACTTTATGGTTAGAGAGATACCTGCTATTGCATCTATAATTAATTTTTCTGTTATATAAAAAGATGGATAACTAATGTCCGTTTCAAAATATAATGCGTCCCACTGTTTTTTGAATAACTCAAGAACGCAATCAGCTAGAGACCTGCGGTTTTCACCAATCGAAAGAAGAGACAGGGGGGGGGGGCGTCTTTTTCTCCAATATCGTATCAGACGGAATCATTTTGAAACCAGTCATTTCTGCATAGCATCGAAAAAATGGTCTTTCATTCAGATGAAATTTTGGCAAAAACTGAAAAAAATTTGCTTCAACATTAAAAGAAATTCATAGTTTTCTTGCGAGTAAACAGACGATTTTATTTGCTAAACGTTAGGATGCGGTAAGATAACCGTTCGAATTATATCCTGAAGTATAGATCCGAAGTTCCTCTATCTAGATCACATGTCAAAAGGAAAATTTATTCAGAATGCCGCGTCGTTTTCATTCATTTTTTGCTATTTTTTGCAGGCGAAAACCGCAGATCTCTAGCTGATTACATTCTTGAGTTATTCAAAAAACAGTGGGGCGCATTATATTTTGAAACGAACATTAGTAGAAGAGGAGAAATAGTGAAAACTGCAGTCTTTAGGACTATGCTGCAATAAAGAGTACTGCATGATGACCGAATGATTGGTTTAGTGTTTCGTTATAACTAGTGGTAGCTGTTACTCTGTACAAGAAACCGATTTTACGAAGAGTTTCTGAGTTCAAATGCTGGGGCTTCCGAGACACATTCATAGACGATATTCAAACCAAGAGAAAGATATATCTTACAATTTACTCAGTATGTCTACGCTATTGTTTATTCGAAAAAAATAGCTGTCAGTGACTCGTTCAAGTAGCGGCGTAATCAGGATTTCAGGCTGGAATCGACTTAGACCCGGACGTTTTGAAAAAGTCCACAAAGATAGCGCTAATTATTTTCAATTTTTTTTATCAAAAAAGGAAACTAAGGCTCTGGATTATCTAAACTAGGCGAGGCTGTTTGAGGTCGGTATTTCAACACTTTAAAATTTCTAAGAAGGTGTCCTTTAAGTCTCAATTATTTATCATAAAAGTGACACTTTTTATATTCCATAGCCATAGTGAATACAATTCGATTTCATGATTCGAATCCTAGTGAATGTCAAAGATAATTTTCAACATGCTGTCGAAACTGAAAACTAAGTATTCAAAATCAGTTCAATGCTATGTGAGAAGTACGGTGATTCCAAATAAAACAGTTTGAAGCGTGACTTGTCTTATCCAAAGTATTTCGAAAATGGAAATACATGGAATTAGAAAAGTGTCAAAATTTGTGATAGCATTAAGGATATGATAGTCGGTATGAAATACATTTGTGGTTTGTCCATCAAGATCTCAAGGCTCACTAGAATCTGCTTCTTCGTTCGTTACGACAGTATCAAAGAGTTTTACAACCCATCACGTAGGATCTGTCAGAATATGGTCTGCAAGCTTTTTCCGTGCGAAAAATACTTGCTGTCAAGAGAAACATTTTCTAAAGACCTTTGTTCGATTTTACTGATATGAAGGCAATTTTAAATGAGATGATCAGTTTGGTGATTTGTTTCGCAATCGGCTATAGCTCGGATAAAAATGAAAACATAGAGAGTCAACGCGAATGGACGTAAAACTTCGCTGTAACAAAATCTTGATTATTTCTGTCACGAATCAGTTTAAAGGGAAAGTCTTTCTTTTTTATATTAAATTCTTTTCAGTAAGCGAACTCGCATGAAAAATCGATTCTATGCGCCTTACATTTTTCAGCAAATAACTTTTCAGAAGGAAAATTTGACATAGCCTTTTTAACACCAGATATATCACAATGGAACATTAATTTTTAGTAGTCTGTATGAAATAATGTACAAGAACCTTTTGAATGAACACATTACTAAAAAGCTATATTCAGTTCAATATCGTCCTACATACAATTGTTACGTAGGCGACCATGCTTTGGCTTGTCTGTAGAAGCTGTAGGGAGAAATTTCGAATAACATTTACTGAACATAGACTAGTTCACAATAAGATCAATAATTTAAATCCAACCAAAGAATTTTCATATCTTGCTTATGAAAGTGTATAAAGACTACTATAGCTAGATCGAAAACTTCCCACAATCAGAAGTGAGTAAATAATTTTTTTCGTCAGAAAAGTTCATCAACTCCTCTGTTAGTTTAAAATATTAATCCCATTTTCGCCTTTGATCGAAGAAAAATATCGAATATTGAATAGACCGAACTGACGCCTCGTGCTCATTGTGCACATAATAGCTTCGAAAGTGAGAAACAATTCTATTTTTCATGAGAACAAAAACATTTCCGTGGGGGCTCAGCCCACCTCGTGGTTACACCATTAAACGATAGATTCCTATGTAGTGTAGTCACGTTTGTTTATTTTTATTTTTTACTATTACATTGGCACATCAGTTCTGCACGTTTTTTTTTTGTGTTTTAGCAAATTTGAGGCTTTATATCTTACGATTAGAAAATGATAGAAACCTGAAATTTCTAGTATAGATAGGTCTATATGACTTCTATCTACTTTAAAAATTTCAGACCTCTATCGCTTTCTAATCACGAGATATAAAGCCTCAAATTTGCCTAAAACACAAAAAAAACGTGCAGAACTTATATGCCAATACAATATTTACTTCGTGGCATGACCAGCAGTCTACCGATTTTAAGAAAAATGCGCTTTGATATACACACCACTCTCAGTGAATATAATTCTTTCCGAAAGTCCTCTTATTTTTTTTCTACTTGTTAATCTGAAGTTCATTTTCGGTTTAATTTAACCTTTTCTGCGAAAAACACGAAATCTAGAGAAATCTCTGATATCGTCTAAAAGCCTATCTTTAACTTCTCTGAGAAAAGTTCAAGTTAAATCCAAAACAAACGTCAGCTCAATAAGTAAACAAAATAAGAGTTCCTAAGAAAAACTATCCAGTGAAGATTGTGCATATTTTAAATTGTATGTATTTTTCCGAAATCATGAGACCATAGATCAATCATGTACACCCATACAAATAGAAGATACCATAATAATAATGAGTCTTGAAGATTGCACTTGGCATTTTTATGTGCGAAATGACATTTTTTTTCTTTTCATAAAAATTCAATATAAAAATTTTG